CACTTTTCTTCTTCTTTGGTAGCTATTGTCATGATGCCTTTATGGATTTAGCGCCTATGTGATCTTTAATGCATTTGGTCAAAGTAAAATTTAAAGCATTTATTTCAATTAAATCCTGAAATAAACATTTTCGTATCTGAAAAATTGAATTATGAGAGTGCCGAACGCGTTCTCGTTTCGAATACTTTAAACGTAAAACATACTCGTACTAAGGCCTCTGAGCGCTCGTTTTGCTTCACACCTAAAGTGTTGTTTCGAATGGAGTAGAACGAACAAGAAACTCCATCGTTACTCTTTAAAATAAAATGATTTTTACAATCTCATTGATACAACCTCATTGGTGCAATAATAGATAGCACAATCATAATCTTTGGTACAAGCCCGGTAATAACACCCTTAATTATACCATTTATAGAGGTCAGAACTCAAATAGTACCTTTTAAGTAGCTAGTAGAGGGCCTCCGATAACCTCAATCACACGTCCAAAAACAACGCAAGTGTTCTTTGACATCGGTTTTCTAAGAGGCCGAACTATCACTCCAGTCGAGCCGGTCCATTTGTGCCGAACCATGGCTCTCCCACACTTTCTTCAGTCCTATAGAGTTACCTAATCTTCTTTTCAGTAGAATCAAAGTTAATAGAATCAAAGCTTTATAGAATCTATTACCTGACCTGCGGCGACAGGGTGTAACTACACGGGCGGCGCGGCTGCGGTGCGGTGCCTAAGCGGTGCCGCTGCGGTTTTCTACATACAAAAATGCATTGTAGCCACATGGCGCTGTGCGGTGTGCTCCGGCGCCGCGCCGCGAGCGCATTGGAATCGAGACGAAGCGGGGGGTCTAAGCAGAGCGGAGCCGGAGCGGCGCCGCTAGCAGTTGTTTGTTTGCGCAGCATAGGGCAGGAGGGAGGAAGGAAGGATGGATTAAGCCAGATGCCGCTGCGGCGCCGCCGCGGCTCAGTAGACCGCCGCTCAGCCCGTGTGGTCGCCAGCGCGGCGAAATGTCTTGCGGTGCGGCGCCGCAGCGCCCGTGTGGGTTGCCTCTAATATGTTAAGCTAAAAATAAACGAAAACTTGTAGGTATTCAAATTACTTAAATAACTTGTTTTCCTTGTACCTACCGTAGTTGACCAGTTTTTTGTATCGGTATCTATAAAAATAGACATTAAATTGTTATATAAACTAAAAATATAATATGTAGCAAAAATAATAATATAGTTACCTAGAAAGAGGAACAGAAAGAAAAACCATTTATTCTTACGCAGAACACACATAACATAACTAAACACTAGAAAAAATAAGAATAACATATAATATAAAGCGAAGGTAAACCAAGGTAGGTATCATAGAAATATTAGAGATATAGGTACATATGGAGATATGTACCTATATCTAAAATCAAAATCGATCCTCACACCCCTAATCCCCAAAAAGCCGATAACGCACTTGTAACGCCTCTAGTGTTCCAGGTGTCCATGGGCGACGCCGATTGCTTACCATCAGGTGATCCGTCTGCTCGTTTACCAGCTTTTGCCATAAAAAAAAATTAAAAATACCAAGGTTCAAAACTAAAGAAAAATGAAGCGACTACTAATACTATACGAATGTAGAGACTGTCTTCATGTCGAAGGCTCTTTAATGTATTCAGTCCGACCAAGGATAAACAATGTTTATCAATATAGAGGTAGAAAAAACGCGTGGTTATATTGATGTAACCATACACTTTAACCACGGACAAAATATAAAGATGAATCGCTTAAAAATAATCGCTTGTGAACCTGGTTTGTTTTCTTTTATTTAATTCGTAAAAAAGGCAGAGGGAATAAACCGAATGAAATAGGTATTTCAAGTATAGTGTGGTATAAGTGTGGGAGAGTCATCCTTCGGCACGAATGGGCCGGCTCGACCGGAGTGATACTACGGCCTCACAGAAAACCGACGTAAAACAACGCAAAAAAAAAAATCCTCAAATTCCCAATTCCCAAAAGGCCGGTAACGCACTTGTAACGCCTTAGTGTTTCGAGCGTCCATGGGTGGCGCCGATTGCTGACCATCAGGTGAGCGATCTGCTCGTTTACCGGCTTATGGTATAAAAAAAAGTATAGAAAAAAAATACAACAAAATTAACAGTATTCATAAAATGTATTTCATTAAAAATATCGTATCAATATAAACACGTACACACAATTTTAAACATTTTTACAAAATAATTAACATTTCTAGTTTTACTGCTAATATTAATGGAATGTTTTATTTTATTCTAAGGCAGTACCTATACATATGTTTTATATACAGCAGAGTAGAATACATATTTCGTCACCACGCCTACTCAAGCTCAATTATATGTACCGTTACTAAATTCTTTGCATTTACATCTAATTACTAGCTACTTCCGCGCGGTTACACTCGCTCTGCTCAGCGCCTATTAATCGTAGCGTGATATTTTATAGCCTATAGCCTTCCTCGATAAATGGGCTATCCAACACAGAAAGAATTTTTCAAATCGGACCAGTAGTTTCAGAGATTAGCGCGTTCAAACGAACAAACATAAAAACAAACTTCAGCTTTATAATATTAGTATAGATTCTCTATAGGTACTTTTTTCTTTTAAATGCATATATGACAGAATATGCCTAAAACATTGAACATAGGATTATATCCTATTAATGTTTTTGTCATGAATTAATTGTCAACAACTCTCATTACTTACATCCCTTTGACGGAGCGTATTTATTTCATAAAATAATTAAGGCTACCATTCAAAAACTTAACTATAAAACCACACCATAAAATCGCAAGATCTTGGCAATTGCGAGGCAATTTATTTTATACTTAAAAAAACATATAATATATGTAATATATCAGTGGCGTGCAGTCCATATAGGCAAAAAGGCTTTGCCTACCTTACAAATACCGTGAATAACACTACGTAATAAAAGATATAAACATTTTAATTTTACTACAGAATACTAAAATAATAATTATAATAAAATTAGTGAACGCCTAAAATAAATAGTATAGCAACAATGATGGCGCGCGATACGTGTTGCATTTCGCCAGGCGTACCGTATATAGCTGTAAACATTAACGCGCGAGGCAGGCACGCGGTTCCGTCGCCTGCAAACCATTCATAAATTTAAGCGTGTAGTGGTGAACGTCATTGTGTGCGTAGTGCACAGACGCGTTTATTTTATCGTCGCGAAGCTTGCCTGCAGGCACGGCCTGACGACTCGTGATTGAAGTTCGCCGCGAGCCGACCAATCACGTTCCGTGTCTTGGTTTACTCATTGGTCGCCTCGCAGCGAACTTCACGCCGCTCGCGCGTGACAATTTTTTTGTTTTTGTTTACGTGCGATGCGTGGATTTTCGGATAATTTTGTTATTTGATTTAGAATACGATTAGTAATTCTACGCAAATAATTTGTAGTAAACGGTATAAAATTGTCTATTTATATAAGTACATTTTATTACTGTGTTTGTTTATTTGTTAATTGATTTTGCAAAGTTATACGAAGAACTGTGAAGTTTGTATTGACAAAAGTTGGTAAAGAATTATAAACTATCGCAGACCATCGCTTAGTGATTAGATTGTGTGTGAGTTTTTCTTCTTATAGTCTTGTCTTGGTAAGTTCTATGAAAGTTACTTTATTTTAATGTGATTAGGTTATGTAACATAAGTAGGTACCTACGCGGAGCTTCCCGTCGCGGCAACTCAGTCAGTAAAAATAACGAAGCTTTAAGTAATATGTTATGTACTAATTATAAAATGAAAAATAAAATATTAATGTTTTTAAGTTGTTAGAGTAATCAATAAGTTGATGTAATACTTCACGAAAACAACGAGAGATGGCACTGTTACAAAGAATTGACGAAAGATTAAAAACCTCATAAGTTTAATTATGTTATGTATTTACGATGAGTTTAATCATAATACAATATTATGTTGCCTACCCTGTTCTAAAACCCTGTGCACGCCACTGTAATATATATAATTAAACACTCAAATAAAATCTCGATGACCTTTATTTCGGATTACTTCGACCGTAAAGGATAATTTTGACCCTATATAACTTTTAAACCAATGAAAAACTAATAATAATATTTATTATGTTAGATCAAAGCTATCCCACGGGGTCAAAATAACCCGAATTTAACCGGTATGAAACATCTCCTTTTGCACAAACAATAAGGCACACAAATACATAACACAGCCAGCTATTTTACTTCTTAAAAGAAATCATACAAAAGCCTGTATTTACAATTATTGGTATAAAATAATATTTTTTTTTAATTTTTTTTTTAATAATTCTGATCAAGCTACGATCGAAATAACAAACAAATATCTAACATTCTTGTTGGTAATCAACTGATACTTAAACGTCATAGCAAAGAAAGAAAATCGCATTATTTACTTTCCCTAGCTTCAAAAAAGTAGTCATTAAGCAAGATTTTTTTTAATCATTTTTTACAAAAACGTTTCCCTTTTTCGACGTTAAGAGTCTGTACATACGAGAAAGTGCCCACAAGGACTTGTAACTAGATAAATTATATCAGATTACATAGAAAATGGGACTAAAAGTGTTCCGTGATGCTGTTGAGCCAAGTTGACGGTGAATCTTCTGTAGAAACCTATATGAAAAATTTTACAGACTTCAAAAAAGGTGAAGGGTATAGTCTATATAGTTTTGTGTTTTGCCTGCACATTGCTTATCAGTCCCAAATCTGATTAATAGCTGTAAAAATATAAAAATACATAACATAACATCACGCCTTTTATCAACGAAGGGGTAGGCAGAGGTGCACATTACGGCACTGTACAATATAACACCCACTTTTCACTATTTATATTATGAGTCCCATGTAATAGGGGGTGAGCCTATTGCCATTTACCGGGCACAATTCCAGACTCCGTGCTACTACTGAGATTTTTTTAAAACCCAGTAATACTTTGCCTGACCCGGGAATCGAACCCGAGACCCCTTGCCCGGCAGTCGCAGTTGCAACCACTCGGCCAACGAGGCAGTATTAAAATACATAATTATATTCTATTTACATAGATACGTTAATAACAATTATATTGCTAAACTTATCACACATTGTAGTAGCTTGCTTCTATTAGTATACCATGTGGCCAGGTCTATTTATTCATTAGTCTATGTCTAAAGATCTAAACGTTGTAGAGATCTCTTTTATTTTCTTCCCCTTTTTCTCCGTCTTCCAGAAGTTCTCGTCCAAGAAGATTTTCCTGGAACAAAATTAAATATTATTTTTTGCGAGATCTAAGTCAAACTAGCTCTGCGGTCTCGAAGAAAATAAGGAGAAAAATAGGCCGGGCGGTATCAGATATTTCTATGGGATAGAGCGATGAACAGACAGATCATCCGAGGTAAGTGGTCGGAGCCATCCTTGGACAACTGAAACACTTTTTTTTTCTTTTATAAGGGGGGAAATCATCGAATGACTGCGCCCACCTGGGTGACGCGGGAGGGAGTGTCAGACTCTTACTGACTGAAAACCACCCCGTTCCTTATCCTGCACGTCGAGCCGGAGCCCCGGTAACACGTTAGGTTCTCCTAGATGAGTCACACTTGTAAGTCCTAATCTTCGGGCTTCTTCCAGTCGTACAGTCTCTTTTGTTCCTTTAGGCTTAAGTCATTCTGTCTCCTGCATAAATTCACCGAGGGAAGTGAAAACTATCATTCTTTTTCTTCTCCTCTATTTATATCTTCTGATTTATTTCGTTGCGGGATCCAAGATAATTATTCATGTCCCTAGGGAACGCTAGTCCCTAGATATTTTCATGGTTGTATCTACAGTAGATCCTGACTTACAGGAGTTGTAATGGTATTGGGAGGTTGTGGCGGGCTTGTCCCATTAAAAAAAAGCCATATAATAAACATCGTTTCCTGTGAGTCGTCTTTTATCAAAGAAGCAAAAAGAATCCCATGTCTAGGAGTGTACAGAAATGAACTACGGATGATAACATAACATAACATTACGCCTTTTTATCCCCGAAGGCGTAGGCAGAGGTGCACATTTCGTCACTTAATGCCACTGTACAATTTAACATCCACTTTTCACTATTTATGTTATGAGTCCCATGTAATAGGGGGTGAGCCTATTGCCATATACCGGGCACATTTCCAGACTCCGTTCTACTGAGATTTTTAGAAACCCAGTATAAATTTGCCCGACCCGGGAATCGAACCCGAAGTTGCCCGGCAGTCGCACTTACGACCACTCGGCCAACGAGGCAGTACGGATGATGAAAGATCAAGAGATAATTATATTAACTCGTCGAGTACCGGTTTTGTAGACACAATTATAGAACAATAGGTTGTGGTCACCGGTGACCGCTTGGTGTTTGACAGTTTAAAATACCTTTTATCCATAACAATATCTACGACTCTCTTATTCAGTTCTTCCATGGAAGGTCGGGAGCCACCATAGTCTGATGGCAAATCTTCTTTATTTAGGTACTTGTATAAGGTTTCCGATTTTGGCACGTGGAAGTGGATCTGAAAAAATAATTTGGTTTTTTACAAAACACATCATTATTTACTTACATAAATATTATATTCTGTTAAGTCCAAAATCAACTCTTTTCGTATCTATTTCATTAGAATATTATTACACTGGAATAAATTCAGCTATTATATCTTGAAATATAGGCAATGGAGGTGCTATCATCATCATTTTTATATCAGCCACAGGACGTCCACTGCTGAACATAGGCCTCCCCCAATGACTTCCAGATAGGCCGGTTGGTAGCGACCTGCATCCAGCGGCTCCCTGCGACCTTAATCAGGTCGTCTGTCCACCTTGCGGATGGACGTCCTACGCTGCGCTTGCCGGTACGTGGCCTCCACTCGAGAACCTTTCTGCCTAAAGCATAACCTTTCGATGTGCTAAGCTCATACTATATGCAGGATATTGCAATGAAACAAACCCAGATTGGCCAATGACAAGGACCAATTCAAAAAGCTGACGGCCAACCCTCAGGGATGAAGTGGCACCACAAGAAGTAGAAGAAACTCAGTCTCTATGTTACTATTGAGATTTTTTTCTAAACTGATTTCTAAGCTGAGTTTCAAATCTAAGGGATATTAACTAATCTTGGGATCCAAGATCAATTTTACCAAAAGGCATTAAAAATTAAGTAAGTATTTTAGTAATGTATTTTATTTGTTTCAGACATTATGGTTGTCTGGTAGAAATCACTATAAGTGATAAGACCGCCTTTGTGCCCAGTACTATTTTTATTTATATTCGTCATTTCCTTTTCTGTATATACTGTATTATTAATGGTGTACAATAAAGTTATATTCTATTCTATTCTATTCTATGGAAGCTTACACTTACCATATTTGTGACTTCTTGTTTAAGGAACGGCTTCATCATGCTGAACAGCTTGTCGATGAAAGGAGGTGCGTTGATGATGTGGATCTGCTTCAACCTGATCGGCATGGCATCCTGAAATAAACGAAAAATCGTTCTTGTCATGTATGTTCTGTTCAAAACTAACAAAAACAGGATTATTGTATGTAGTTACACCTATGAGCTAAGGCTTCTTAAGTTTTCAAGGAAGTTGATTGGCACCAGAATTGTTGGCATGGTTTTTTTGGTTACAGATAAATATTTATCACATTGGATCACACACAAGGTGATCAAATAAATATTCCTTACGATGGTATTTGTATTTCCATCAACACTATAATTACAGTATATTAAAGTGTGATATCAAAGTCATGTAATGTGTTGGTGGCCCGGAGATATAAAACACCCGTTTCTCATGCATCAGAACGCGGGGTCGAAAGCTACCAACAGCAAGTACCAATGTGACTTTTTCCGAGTTATATGTAGGTACTTTCTTAGATTATCTAGACACCACTGACCAACGGTAAAGGAAAACATTGCGAGGAAGCCTAATTTCTAATTATAAGTTTGAAATCCCCAACCCGCATTGAGCAAGCGTGGTGATTAATGCTTAAACCTTCTCCGTACGAGAAGAGACCTTTGGTCAGCAGTGGCCACTTATTATAGGCTGTTGATGATGATGATGATGATGATGGTGATATTAAAGTAATCTACACTAATAATTACAGTATATTGTAGGTCTAGTAAAAATAACCAAGAAACTACTACCGATTGGTAGTTTTTTTTTTTATTTAAGTAGGTATATCTATAAAGACCTCTTACCTCTTGATACTTCGCAAGTTTCCGCGCAACAGAAATATTAAACTTCGAGATGAATTTAAGAGAAATGTCCTTGGCATCCATAACAACAATATCTTCTTCAGCCAGATCCTCGTTGCTGAGTATCCAAGCATCACAGGTCATGAAGAACATTCTTGCATCTTGGATGTAGTCGTATTGTTCTAGACCTGGGTCATTTAGTTGCCAGAACCAGATGTTTCTTTTGCCTGATATTTCGTAATGCGCCACTTTCCTGTAAAGATATAGAGAAAATTCTTCTTTACTTTTTGTTAGGATTGTGAATATTTAAATACTTATTTATTAGGTCAAGTGATCACAAATGCTTTTAGGGCGGGTTTAACCCATGGTATGTAGATATACGCGAGACGCAATGTGTTTTTTATTGTGTCTCTTCTGCCGGTAGATAAGAAGTTAAAAAGCTTCATAGGTCCGATCACAGGGTCCCAAAAACCAGATTTCTATGTTGTAATTATCAATAAGGGCTCGTTTATTGATTCATAACAAAACAGACATAATCTATACTAATATTGTAAAGAGGATCCATTAGATTTTTTTTCTGTTGAATTGAATAGACTCGGAAACTACCGACACGACTGACACGACCGACACCTTCGAGATGACCGATACATTCAACACGACAGATACGACCGACATGACCACACGACAGACATCAATGACATGACTGAGACGGCCAACATGACTGACACGCTTTACACGACCGATACGAAAGATACGACCGAAACGACAGACACGTCCGACACGACCGACATGACTGAAACGGCCGACACGATTAACACGATTGATACGGCCGATACGATCGACACGACAGATACAACAGACACGACTGACACGACAGATACCACTGACACGGCCGACACGACAGACAGACAAACACGACACGATAGCCAGACAGACAGATACGACCGGCCGACTACAAGCTGGATACACCCTGGGGACATAATATACAGGATATTATAGATATAAATAAAATTGGAGTGTCTGTTTGTAATATTGATATAACCGCTTTTTATTACATACGATAAATATACCAAAATAACACTTTTTACAATTTTTTTTTTCTGTCTGTTTGTACGTACTGGCTAATCTCTGAAATGGCTGGACCAATTTTGACAGACTTTTGTTGGTACGTAGCTGGTGCACTAAGGAGTAACATAGGCTACTTTTATTTCAGAAAAACGCAGACAAAGTTGCGGGTACAGCTAGTGTATGTATATACTGAAAACATGAACTTACATTCAATGTCGAAATCTCAAACAGTTGATTGACGTATAAAAATTATAATACCTATCTACCATAGGTATCGGCTTTTCTATTTTCTTATTAATTAAAATTAGTACATTAGAACTACGTTCAAATTACTGTTTTACGGATTCTGTCCTATTTGTTCCATACCGAAGCCAGAACAACAATAATGAAGTACCGTATAATTCTGCCATTATGCTCAACATGCCCTAAAAATTTTTGTTCCACATTTTAATAAGTAGTTTCGTGTGAACGCTTCTGTGCCCACCCTTTTTAAATGAGAGTTCGTTAACGGAATCAGTGACCTTGAAATTTCGTATTCAGTTCTTTATGGTATAGGGTGACAAAAGACAGATGGGGCCTTATAGGGCTGATGACGATAGGGAGCCGCGGAGGACTTAACGGGTTGCCGGGGCTCCGGCTCGAAGTGCAGGAGTAGGAACGAGGTGGTTTTTAGTCAGTAAGAGTCTGACACTCCCTCTCGCTTCATCTGGACGGGAGAAGTCATTGACTGATTTTCGCCCCTCAAAAAAAAGGGGCAACAAAAGAAGGGTCAGTTCATATATGATGGTAAGCAATAAGTACCACCCATGGATAGTCGCAACACCAGAGGAGTTAACAAGTGCGTTGTCGAAATTTTGAGGGCTTTTTATTAGAGGATTGTAAACTCCCCATCTTCAGTCGGCGAGGGGAGAATTGGGCTTCTGGAATATTTGGATTTGTTTACATATCGCATTACTAATTATTATTTATGAGCACCAATCCGCGACCCGCGACGCCTCGACTGTCGCCGGGAATATGAAAGAATGAAAGAAAAAACTTTATTTCACACCCTAAAACAGGCGACATGTAGATTTTACACATAAGTTTATAAATATCTACTAATGTCCCAAGTCTGCGGTAAAATGGGACCAGTTCAGCAGACGTGTAAGACAGGGCCTCGCGCTTGTATTCTACTGGCCCCTTAAGTGACTTATGAGCCTCTAGCATGGCTTGAAACGAGTCGAGTTCCTTGTAAAATGATTATGTGAGTAAACCGAAAACATAATAATTAATTTAGTACGTCCCACGAAAGATATAATATATTTAAATCATCTTTTTTGTCCACGAAAAATTGATTAATGACGTCCTGCTCAATGTGTTCTGTAATCCAATGACGATTTTTACATCTGAATACGCATAGTGTTACGTAAAAGTTATGTTCCAAGTATTTTGAGTCATAACACTATTGTAGTATTTTGCAACATTTAATCACCTTGTTTCAAAGTATTGTATTGACAACTTGAGTTATTTACTTCATGCTTAGTATAGGGGTCGATATTATACCATGTAATAGAACTTAAGTCTTTTACTTAACACCTCACGCTCAATTTCATGTTTTATACAATGTGTAAACATTTATTGAGAAACCTCATACCTCATACATAACATAACATGATTTTTACCACCGAAGGGGCAGGGCAGAGGTGCACATTACGGCACTTAATGCCACTGTACAATATAACACCCACTTTTCACTATTTATGTTATGAGTCCCATGTAATAGCAGGTGAGTCTATTGCCATATACCGGGCACAATTGCCAACATGGCAGTCCACTATACTCCATATCTATTACTTACTTACTTTGAACGACCTAGGTATTAACACTTGAACTGAGTTATAAAGGCCATAAATTCTACCAACGAGGTAGTTCATAATCACGTTTATTGTTTTCAATAACAGTGACTTAAGTCTTAATATCAATTAATATTATAATGCGAAAGTCTTTGTTTCTTTGTTATTACACCTTCATACATTTCATTACATCGTATCTGACCGACTGACGTAAAACAACGTTGTGTTGTGCCCCTTTCACTAATCCCTGAATACCCAACAATACTCAAATTCCTAATCCCAAAAGGCCAGTAACGCACTTGTAACGCCTCTGGTGTTCCAGATGTCCATGGGCGACACCGATTGCTTACCATCAGGTGATCCGTCTGCTCGTTTACCGGTTTATCCCATAAAAAATCTTTACTGAGGGACAGACTGACAGACAATTCTACTTTGACGTTTAAAATGAGCCTCTGTTTGGTTTTTTTTTTAATAAACTTTGACTTTATGTACACACAGACCTTACAATTTAATTGTGCACTTTTAACAGTCACATTCGGACTATACGGTAGAAGGAAAGAGACCGAGAGGCCGAAGTCCCATACGGTGGTCTGACCAAATATCCAAAGAGCTGGAGATATCTATAAATGTTGCAATGCACTAAGCAACGCAACGAGATAAGTGGTGACATCTAGTGAGCAGAATCAGAAGGAGGAGATTTTTTTTATGAGATACGCCGGTAGACGCGCTTACGGATCACCTGGTGGTAAGCAATCGGCGTCGCCCATGGACACCCGAAACACCAGATGCGTTACAAGTGCGGTACCGGCCTTTTGGGAATTAGGAATTTGAGGATTGTGGGGGATTCGGGGTTTGGAGAGACTGGGGAAGGGGGTAATTGGGCCTCCGGTAACCTCACTCACACGACGAAACACAACGTAAGTGTTGTTTCACGTCTGTTTTCTGTGAGGCCGTGGTATCACTCCGGTCGAGCCGGCCCATTCGTGCCGAAGCATGGCTCTCCTACACTTAAGGGGATCCTCAGCAGTGAGGGAATCGACTAAGAAGAATTCGGACTATACATAATCCCACCAAAACATTCTGTAAAAAACTAGCCAAGTCTCGATAGAGCTGCTAGTTTATCTCTAAAATGTAATGAAATATAACAAAGTCGTGCCAATTCTAAGGTTCCTTATTGCGATTTAATTATTATTATAGTCAATGTTGTGTAACTTGGCCGTCGAAGGGTAATATCACGTTTTCCAAGAGGTAATTTTCCATCGGAAATGGGTAGCAATGGTGTCCCATTGCACCAATCTCTCGCCAGACAATTGAGCATCTGGTTTTGTACCCTTCAGATCGTAAGGTGTGTAGCGTGCATAACAATCGTCTCGTTTCGCACACATGTAGAGTAAGAAGTGCGTAAAGGGACACACGCGAAGTCTGACGTAAAAGTTCGCACAAAATAACACTTCGATTTGTATTGCATTGTCAAAATTACAAACTTACACTTATAAATAGGCGCGGCTATTGCTCTCGGCTTTGAATAACAAAATACGTGGGTCTACGCCATGATCTCACGGCAACTCACGTGTTCATTCATAGGTCATCGGCACGGAGAAACTCAAACACATCAAGCTATGCAAATCCAATTTATCGTGATCTCGCTTTGTATAATCTTTCTCCACATCCGACGGTCAGTTTATACTGGTTTGAATAGATTAAAGTGTTAAAATAAATAGATTTTCAACGTTATTGTTGTGCTATAAAGTCGAAAATTTAATGAAAATAATTGACAGATTGGAGTAGTTTAACTTGCTGGCAACTACAAATTCATCATAATATTTTGGCAACATATTCTTTGGTGAAAAATTGTTACAACTGTTTTTGGCTACTCTGCTATGAGATTTTAATACTCCTGTTACAACATGCTTACGTAGGTGGTCAAATCATAATTATATTATTTAAAAAGATAGAAACTTTGACGTAAATAACAAATAAAATATCGTAGTAAAATTAAATACCTAATATATTTAATCTTATAATACCATCTATCTCTTATATGTATACAATGCAATTTTAATGGCGATGACATATTGCATTGTTAATATTGGTATTTAAATTATATGTTTTGACTAACACACAATAAATTAGATAGTAAACTTATCGATACATAGAATAAAACTACAGAAGTGTTAAATCTGTCTATTAAAAAAATTTGAAGAAACGGTTGGGATGATAACAGGGTATGAAAATTAAAAATATAATTAGTACGTAAGTTAGGTAATGAAAAAATGTTAGACATGCATTTTTTTATTTTGTCGTATAATAAAACAATATTTAGATAAAACGAATCAAAGTTCAGGAATGGGGGCTAAAACGTCATTTCTACGTATAAAATATATACATAGAAGTGACGTCACGCGACATTTCAAATCAATATATCGTCGAAAGTATTAGTTTATGTAAGAAAATAAAAAATACGTGTCTAATGATTTAAAATAATCTACCAGACGGACATTAAAATAAAAATTAGTCATCTACCCTATTGGGATAGGATTTATTGGCAGTTGGCACTATGAACAATAAAACTATTCACAAATGTATTAATACACGTCAACAACCCAAGATATTTCCAAACAAAACAAACAAATAAATCTATCTAAATCTACATTACCTAAGAACATAAACAAAGAAATCCAACTCGTAATTCATGGCCTAGATAACAAAATGTTGTTGAGCTATTTTGGTCTCTTTTCCAATTACTTTATGAGCCATGAAATCAGAAGGATCATCGTATAAGAATATCCGGAATTTCTATGAATCGCTTACAAAGATTTAGATTTAGGTAAATAAACTTGCTGAGCACTTATGTATAAATGTTTCATACAAACTTCCATTCCCTAGTTTACCCCCTTGGGCATGGAAATGATCAAAATCCTTTCTTAACGGATGCCTAGGTCATAAAATCTCCCTGCATGCCAAATTTCAACCCGATCCATCCAGTGGTTTGGGCTGTGCGTTGATAGATCACTATGTCAGTCAGTCACCTTTGAGTTATATATATAGATTTAGATAGATTTTTTTTTCTAAGGGGGGAATATCATCGAATGACTGCTCCCGCCTGGATGAGGCGGGAGGGAGTGTCAGACTCTTACTGACTAAAAACCACCCCGTTCCTTCTCCTGCACGTCGAGCCGGAGCCCCGGTTACCCGTTAGGTGGACACATAAGTGTTAAGCAAACTTTCTATGATACTTCCTAAATTCTATGAATTTAGATAAAATGAAAATATGTGTGTCTGTTCTTATGGTATGCAAGCAACCGCCTATGGATATCCATAACACCAAAGGTGCTTTAACTCGTCGAGTACCGGTTTTGTAGACACAATTATAGAACAATAGGTTGCGGTCACCGGTGACCGCTTGGTGTTTGACAGTTTAAATGCGTTGCCGACCTTTTGGGATTTGAAGATTTGAAATTTATGGATCGCGAAGATCTGGGGGGGAAGGAAAGAATTGGGCCTAATCCGTTAATCTCACTCACATGACAAAACACAGCGTAGATAAGCGTTGTTTCACGCCTATTTCTGCTTTAAAAATGTCAGTCACTATCAATTTTGTGCATTGATGAAGATTGAAGTCATAATGACAGTTATCGATATCAAATTCAATACTGAGTCTTGTTTGTCGTTAAGCCCTTAAATCCGTATTAAATGTAATGAACACATCTAGTCTTCCTAGTATTATGTCTCGCCATAATGTCCCATAGTTGCTAAGGAAAATATAAAACCTGATCTGTGATATTATCATATCTAGCATTAAGTCAACCATTACCTATACATGTAGAACTAGGGTCACGACTCCCAACCTCCTCTATTACTGCAGTATTATAATCACACCTATCTGAACAATTAAGGCGTTCAATGAAGAATTGTATGTTACCTACCATATTGTTGTCTTTGTATTATATTAGTGGTCTATATTTATTGAATAACTGGTTATTAATTGCTATGACGTAGGTTCATAATTACAGTTAAGTTCATAATAGGACGTGCTGTCACGTCACTTTAGAGAGCAAGGTTGAAAATATGTTCAAATTAAGATTAGGGTAACTTCTTGTATTAAACTCTCAAACACCGCGAGGACACCGGTGACTGCAACCTATTGTTCTTTAATTGTGTCTTTAATGACGGTATGTACTCAACGAGTTAAATTCCCCAACGTCTAAAAATATTTCTAAAATAACGTGATTCATCTCAATTTATTTGAATTCCAAATTGAAAACCTTAAAGATTCGAAATTCGAAACCTTGTATTTGGCAGTTGCAGTTTATGAATGTCCATATCGAGATACGACTCTGAATCTATTCGGATACGATTGCATTATTTACCCCTACTCTTTACTAAGCCGTAAACTCGCATCAATTTATGGACACTTACGCAATTTTCATAGCCTTCTGCATAGCTGGTGACAATGGATCCCTGTGGTTGACTAGCTCTGGAGCACTGTCTCTGACCTTGAAGAACAACTCGATGGTCTGCTTCGTCTTCTCCACATCATAGTAGCAGCTGTGCAGGAATCGCAAGATGAGACGGTTGTCTGTAACACGATAGTGATTGGTTATAAATAAATCAAATCAGACGTGTCTAATAGCTATTCAGACTTAAACTGTATTCAGAATTCTAAGAGTCTTTGCCTCGAACTCGATTGTTACAAGGTCTCATTTACACATTTGCTACTGATTTTGGAAAAAAATTTGGCATAATATAAAACGTGTATGCAGCAAGATTAGCTAATTTTCTTTATACCACGACGGTGGTAAAAAAGCACACGGCCCACCTGATGGTAAGCGGTTACCGTGGCCTATGTACGCTTGCAACACTATTAAATATTTGATTAGTGATTCCCCGTATTTAGAGAGCACCTGAGGCTATCAGTAATCAGACATCAATAGCCGGTTTTAGTTTGATTGGGCTCAATAGCCAGATGATGATGAGAAACGACAAACTTAATCTCAATAGATTAGATTTGTCTACTGCACTTATAGGCTCTTTTTGATGCTTCTTTTGGACTAACCTTCCTACACTTTCTACATAACATAACATCACGCCTTTTATCCCCGAAGGGGTAGGCAGTGGTGCACATTATGCCACTGTACAATGTAACACCCACTTTTCACTATTTATGTTATGAGTCCCATGTATTAGGTGGTGAGCCTATTGCCATATACCGGGCACAATTCCAGATTACGTGCTACTACGGAAATTTTTTATAAACCCAGTAATACTTTGCCCGACCCGGGAATCGAACCCGAGATCTCTTGCCCGGCAGTCGCACTTGCGACCACTCGGCCAACGAGGCAGTCCTACACTTTCTATAGTAGACATAAAGCATGACCTGCATAAAGATCTTTAAAACCAGAGTTCATCTTTTCTCTTATAGATAATAATTAATGCATTATCAATAGAATACATAACATTACGCCTTTTTATCCCCGAAGGGGTAGGCAGAGGTGCACATTTTGGCACTTAAACTGTCATCACCAAGCGGTCACCGGTGACCGCAACCTATTGTTCTATAATTGTGTCTACAAAACCGGTACTCGACGAGTTAATGCGACTGTACAATGTAACACCGACTTTTCACTATTTATGTTATGAGTCCCATGTAATAGGGGGTGAGCCTATTGCCATATACCGGGCACATATCCAGACTCTACTCTACTATTACTGAATAATATAATAATTAATAATAATAATAATTATATATAATAATTATATATATCTATAATATCAATAGAAGTAGACGATATTAAAACAACTCAATAAATCTAGAATACTAGTTCAAGAAACGGAGTCAATGTCTCATTATAAAAGATGCAAGGTTATCTACTTGATGATTTTATAGAGCCATGAATGAATATCAATGCAAATTATGCAATTCGTTAAAAATTCAAACTATCTGTAATTCTTGGATCAGAAACGGAGTTTTGCTTTTTTACAATAGGTTATTTTTGTTATTAAATCGTCACGGACTCCGGTCTGACCCTTGTCATCTATAAAGTGGTTTGATATTATTAACCACTGGACTGTGTACAGTTATTTGTGGATATCCGAATATATTATCACAACTTCTTAGTACCTCAACTTGGCTTTTAAAATGAAGTTTGGTTGTACCTTGAGTTTCACAATCCCACGGTACAAAATGTAAGCTTCAGTCATTCACAAAACATTGCCTTCAGACGTTTCCTCATAACTTGGAATGCAAAACAATTGTCTATCAACTGGAAACAACCACGAAGCCTTTAAAATCGTGGAATTCCCTCCATACGAGGCGTTCTCAAACCGGTATTTGTATAAAGTTTCCATCATTTATTTAAATATCAAATCGTTTCTGTTAACAATGAACTGGGCAGACAAAACATGTTACATTTCAGTCAAGTCTGTCTAGTAGACTAGTTAGCTTTTCGCGTACGGTTTCGTCCGCGTAGAATTTTTCCGTCTTATGCTGATCCTATAAGAATCCTTATCATCATTGGTATCACCCACAAGATCCACTGTTGAATATAGACCTCTGCTAATGATTTCCAAATCAGCCGACGAGAAGCGACCTGCATCCAACTGTTCTCTGCAGCCTTTATCAAATCGTTCGTCCCCTTATGGATGGACGTCCTGTTGGAATCATCATCATCAAAGTCAAAGTCAAAGTCAAAGTCAAAGCATTTATTTCAATTAAACCATAGTTTGGTACTTTTGAAACGTCAACAAATACAAAATAAATAATAGTCTGTCAGTCAGTCCGTCAGTGAAGCTAGGTGCTCATTCCAAAACGTAGATTCGAATGGAGAAGAACGAGCAAGAAACTCCATTCGTTACTCTTTTAAAAAAGTATGTTCTACAATGTCTCTGATACATATTTCAATACTGTACGCATATGTAAGAACAATGCAAAGACACGCTTGACGCATTATACTACTAACTTACTAAAATAAAAATAAAAATAAAAATAATAAAGATCTTAAGTCCAACATGGTGCTCACATATGCATACTGACAATCCATAAAAATAGTGCTTCTATAAGAAAAAGGAAACTCTTTGTTTCAATAAAGAAAGAAATGCTCGATGCCATAAGGAAACTAGATTGTCTACATTAAAATTAAAGTATTAAATTATGTATTAAATTACCTACTATTGCAATTTAACATCGAAAGCCTATACGTAGCCACTGCTGACTAATGGAACATTGGGATAAAATCTATGTTACTCCCTAAAACGTTACCTCTTCAACGATACAAAACATTAGGTCTACTTTTGAACTAACTAACAATGAAATCTTTCACCTTCATCAATACATAGTATAAAACAAAGTCGCTTTCGCTGTATGTCCGTATGTATGCTTAGATTTTTAAAACTACGCAACGGATTTTGATGCGGTTTTTTTTAATAGATAGAGTGATTCTTAAGGAAGGTTTGTATGTATATACATATTGCACCCGTGCGAAGCCGGGGCGGGTCGCTAGTAATCTATATTAATAATTTCGTCAAGGGGTACGGTAGACTCGATCGAAACATTACCTGAACAATATAACATAAAAAATATCGATTTCGAGTTGACAACATATATCCGCAAAATTCGGATTACGGAGATTATTTCGTTCTACCTCTCAGAAACGGCTCGCCAATGAACACGTTGTCGCGTCAAAAAAGTATAAATTAACAAGAAATATGAATAAATGCACGCGAACGAAGTCGCGGGTAACAGCTAGTAATGTTATAATACCGTCAAGAAGCTACTAAATCTGTGTATTTTTTTTTCAACAAACTTGTATTTCCTACCCACACAAGTTATAACACAGGAAATTATATTAATAATGGTGTTTATGACGTCTAGGCTATGTTTAGGCGGAGATTTTTAACTTTGGCGTCACAAATTGTGAATTTAAATGGTAGAAGTGAAACCTTATCGTTTTACATGTAATTTAACATCTTGTCTTGTCGTTAGCAAGTCATCTAATGCTGTTAGTGACGACATTGGTCACGTTATTATAGTAAAGTGCCTTTTTTATTTATTTAACAAGTGTTTAAATGATAGTCATTGAAGTAAATACTCTTGAAAGATCAAAACATTCATATAAGTAAAGAAACAGATGTATTTCTATAGAACGCACACTTCAGAATTGAAAGACTCATCATCAAACTAGATTTTGTACTTTATACAAATTGGAAATGAGTTGATATTTCAATACAACTTAGACGAATCGATGTGCCAGGAGTACCAGTTACTATACAGACTGAATATGTACTTTAAAGCAATTGGAATGAAGTTTGAATTCCAATGCAACCTAATGGCAATTGTGGACGAGTTGCTGTGCCAGTTATACAGGCAAGTAACAACAGCTTCCCATTCATTGTATGCGAAACATCGCCCGTTGAATGGCCTATCAGGTGGCAATTATTCTTTGTATGAGTCGGACGAATCAATACTAAGGACTTACCAATGTTTCTGATACTTTATACAAACACCAGCACGACAAACTACCCTATCCTCGTCAAAGGAGATTCATCTTTATTAGTAAGAGTGAACGTCGAATATGTTATGAGAGAATTTGATGTTTTAGGGTATTTAGATGTGCTAGTTATACACTTTTCTTTTGGTAAAGGTTTGATAACCCATTCGGTAGGGTCGGTAGGGTCGGTAGGGTCATCGACATCGTCATGACCAAGTTAGGAGGTCCGATAGATAACCGGTTTTAAATTAGGTAGCTATAAAAAACGACTTTATGACGACTTCTTAAGATTTCAAATTATGTATTCTCGTGGATCGTCAATTAGAAATAACAAATTTGATATAAAATGATGTTTCCTATATAAAAAAGAGAACATAACGTAGTAGGTATATTTACAATTTAGTATTTTATATTTGTTTAAATATCCGCTTAATGTTGGTATTTAGGTTCATAATGATATAGGGCATAAATTTTATTTTCTTTATCTTATTGTCTATGTTGACAATTACGGAATCGAACATATATCTATTTGCAAACATGATAGATTCAGAGATTCTGATTCAGACAAATTTAAATTCAACGTGAGAACCGAACATGAGACCTTGTTTAACTCGTCGAGTACCGTCATTATACACCTTGTTGCGGTCACCGGTGACCGCAACCTATTGTTCTATAATTGTGTCTACAAAGACGGTACTCGACGAGTTAAGGCGGTCTTAAAACTCATTCGATAAGTCACAGTCGCTTAATAGCTTTATCCTTTTTCACCCTATATTTACAGTCCAATGAGCGCTAGGTACAGATAAAAAAATTCGCTCGAAATTTAAGATAAATCGAAGGCCATAGAGCCTAAGGAGAAAAAGTATTGATATTTATGCTCACCTATATCCTTTGGCAAGTGAGGCTGGCTGTCTACCCAATTCCGCAATTGGTTGATTTTCTTTTGCACTTCTTCTGACACGTTTTTATCCATATTGCTGTATTGTCGTCCACCTGAAAATTATAAAATATATTTATTAGTACGCATTTACTTTACCTTGAAGTTGTTTATTAAATATTTACGCCCAAAATATTTCTTCCGAACCTAAATCGACTGCCCGATACCGCTTTTGTCTGGTTTCTGCTCTCAAACGGCGATAGTGACGAAAGTATGACGTCATAGCTTTTCGGTCATTCATTTTCTCAATGTATATTATGTCTGTAGTAACTATAGACAGATTTTAGTATTGTTCCTAACATAACTTTACAGATTTGATCCCCGAAAAGTTTTATGTCCCATAAGCAACAGACGAATCACCTGATGGTAAGTAATTGGTGTACTTGAAACACCAGAGGCTTTACAAGTTCGTCACTGGCCTTTTGGGGATTAGGAATTTGAGGATTGTTGGGGATTCGGAGTTGTGGAAATTGGGGGTTATTTGGGCCTGAGGGTAAGTGATATAAAGTCTACGATGTTACACCAATTTTCACCAGTTATGTTATACTCTCAGCCTGTCACCACTGTCTGCATGTCTAATCGTAATAAACTCAAAAATTACTAAACGGATTTTGATGCAGTTTTCATTAGTGAAATGTTTTGAATAAGTTCGATTGAGTAAGCAGCGAAACTATGGACCGGATGCTATTATTATAATATAGTTACGTTTGTAGACTTAGACTGCCTCGTTGGCCGAGTGGTCGGAAGTGCGACTGCCGGGCAAGGGGTCTCGGGTTCGATTCCCGGGTCGGGCAAAGTAATACTGGGTTTAAAAAAAATTTCAGTAGTAGCACGGAGTCTGGATTGTGCTCGGTATATAGCAATAGGCTCACCCCCTATTACATGGGACTCGTAACATAAATAGTGAAAAGTGGGTGTTACATTGTAGGTACAGTGGCATAATGTGCGCCTCTGCTTACCCCTTCGGGGATAAAAGGCGTGATGTTATGTTATGTAGAGGTAATTACGTTTGTCATTCTTTTAATGGAATTTAAAGGTATGATATAGGTACCTACTCTTCTAACTTAATCTTCTTTTAACACGTATTAATCAAATTTATTATTCCATTGTTCGTTTTTAGACTTGACTAGACGTTTAGAGAATGAATGCAAGGTCGCAATTATTGAATAGATAAATAAAACAAAGATCGTAAGACAAATTCTTGAGTTTTTATTAGCATAGACAAAGACACGTGACATTTTGGAGTCTCGTGCTAATAAAGTTTGATATTTTTATTTATATAAAACTTGATTTTCATTTGTTGATTTTTATCCTGTTACTTAATTTTCGATTGTACTTCATCACATATTAGCGAGTATATAGTATATACAAGGTATTGTTTTAAAGCCACCTCATTTTCTAGGAGGTAACTCAGCTATCGATTCTGAGTACGAATCAATAAAAAAAATTGTAGGTAAATATTTTTCATTTTTCTGTAAATTACGGAAATCCGTAAGTGCGAACTACACGCCGCCGTCTTGTGACTAGCTTTATAACTTAACACACAAAAACTCAAACACGTAATTGATATTATTCCTTATTCCATAAAACATTGCTGTCGCTTATTCTGAAATACTGTCTAACTTAAACGATTTATTATAGCCGTATTTTTAACTATTGGCCCGAAATTTTCTCTTACATTGAACCTTTATGACTTCTGTGGCATGCCACCAAGAAATGACACGGTTTCAAAACTGCACCCTGTATATGTACCCATATATACACGCTGTATTGCTTTCGCACACTACTCGATCGGCCTCACTCATCAAATCGAAATTCGAAATTTTCGCGTTGTTTCCGAAAACTGAACAATTATTGCGTCCCAGAGTTCATTTCGGAGACAACGGGACTCGTAAATTATAAAAACGTCCCGATTAAAACGGGATGTCTGGACACGATAAGCATCCACTATTCACCACTTAACCGGATTCCGAAAAGAAGCAACCGGGATAATGTGAGGATGATGATGATGATATTGATGCTATTCACCACTCATTATAACAGAGGCTCATGTAATGGAGGTGAGATTCTAATGCGCCATTGACCAATGACTTCAACTGACTCCAATAAGGCAATGAATTAAATTACCATGATGTACAACTAAATGACTTTTTACTAGACAAACGGATGCTTTATACGTATAATTTTTCCTGTATTCCATCATAACAAAGCAACTAGATATCTAGTACTTAGGAGGTCCTTAGTTGTCAGTCATTTTCCGCGAACGTGGATGTAATCTCAAGTAGATAATACATAGACATGACTATATGATATGTAATAGGTATAATAAATACCGTAGAGGTAGTGAATTTTAAAATTAAATTGATTAAGGAAAATATAAGAAAACCTGTTGAACATAATTTCAAATGATTTTGCTATTCTATATAAAAGGGCCTATATCATATTAATCTATAGAAAATGCAGAGTGATTAAATAAGTACGAAGACTTGAAGATGGAGCATATTGGCGTATTGACAGAGAGGCTTATTCTTGTTATGGATGGCAATGGGCTAGTGATAAATGAACGGACTACGCTATAGTTACGATTACTATGTTCCGTTTAAAAAGGTAATGATTTTGAATTTTTTATAATATAAGTTGTACGTTAAAGCTACAGCCAGTAGGCTACGCGACATCGCCGCAACCGCGCATGCTGCTCATGAAGAAGAGCCCCTCTATGACTCGAAACTAGTAGAGCTTTTCTCAATATTGTGACGCGAGTAACCAGCGATTTTTAGTTAATTTAGTATGTCTCAACTCTCAAGATAGTTATTATAAACAGAGCTATAGCCAATAGCATTACGCTGCGACATTTAAAAACACACGAATGTAACCTCAGAAGAAAAGATTACGTATCTACTACCTGACTAATTACAGAAACTCACGAATTCATGAAGATGGTAAGGAAATTGAATTACAGACGAGTGAAACTTCAATTAAAACATTATGATTCAATATAACAACATAAAGCCAAGGATACACAAAGGGACAAATGTCCTGTCCTGACTCCTGAGACACGTGTCGCCAGCGACGTCGAGTGACGAAGCGCGATGTTGCCGGACTTTGGTCGACAAGTTGTGCGTTGTCACCGAGTATGTCAGGCGATATTTTTTTTTAGGGGGGATAATCATCGAATGACTGGTCCCGCCTGGGTGAGGCGGGAGGGAGTGTCAGACTCTTACTGACTAAAAACCACCCCGTTCCTACTCCTGCACTTCAAACCGGAGCCCCGGCAACTCGTTAAGTCTTCCGCGGCTCCGTATCGGCATCAGCCCTGTTGGGCCCCATCTGTAGTGGTCTGATGGCTCCTTAAGATGCGCGCGGAACGCTACACGCCGTACGCTCGGGCCTGGTTCTGGTCAGGCGGCGAGTCACCCGTGCTCGCTGTCCGCAGGCCCTTGCATACGGTGGTAGGAGATCGTCTCGCGATCCCCGACGCCCGGAATGTCTCTCGCGATCGATGAACATGTCATCGATATATGTCTTGGGACATTTGCATCCCTCCAGTGAAATCTTTATGGTCATCGTTCTGATACACACTAAGTCTAGCTATATCTACCTAATGCAATTGTAAGAATGATTCATTATAGCCAGGAGTAGAGACCGAGCTAAATTGACGCAGTCATCGCGCTGAGGAACTATTATGGGTCAATGTTATAATAGGGCAAAGGGCCAAGGACTATTTCGGTACGGGCGCACTTGTTCTTATGTTTTAGTATTTCATAGGTATGTACATACATAATATTAAACTTAATTTTAAAGCATTTTGACACACATTTAATATTGAGAGTTTACAGTGGGATTTATCCAGTGAAATGGAGATATGTGGTGGATTTTGGTTGCTATTTTAAATGGATAATCCTGTACTTATTGTAAATACGATAAATGAAGAAAAAAAAATGTAAATTATTAGATATAACAGGCTGAAATTTATCAGTATCACGTTTAAATCAATTTACTGTGAGTCACAATACTGTATAAAAGTTAGTTTGATGTTTTTGGTTCAATTACCTACTACTTATCATTTCTAAATTATTAGACTTTTTGTGGACTTGCTATCCCATTCGGTAGCGTACGGCGCGTCGCGTTCCGCGCGCGCCTCAAAGAGCCATCAGACCACCACAGATGGGGCCCAATAGGGCCGATGCCGATTCGGTGTCGCGGAGAACCTAACGGGTAACCGGGGCTCCGGCTCGACGTGCAGGAGAAGGAACGGGGTGGTTTTTAGTCAGTAAGAGTCTGACACTCCCTTCCGCCTCACCCAGGCGGGAGCAGTCATTCGATGATTTTCCCACCTTAAAAAAAAAAACAAAAATCCCATTCGGTAAGAGAGAGATAGAGAGCAAAGAATGGAGTAAAGGTGGACACTATAAAATATCCTGCGAAGTCAAATAGCATTGATGATTGAAATGAAATTAATCTGGAGACATTACTGTCCTAATCTTTAATTTATTATTGCTACGTTGGCAGATTTCAACTCTTTAGATTTCATGAGACACACGAGTGCATACACGAGTATGTACTATATTTTTATCAGATTACGCAATATCTTATCTGTTTTTAGATAAATAAAGCCTATTATGTTTTTCGACACAGTTTTTTCCATTGATAAAACATCAGGTTTTGGTAATCAATAGATAGGTACTAGATGGGTTATTGATTAAGTAATAAAATACTGTATCCGGCTGCACGGTAACTATCTTTTTATAAGGATTATTTTTCAGGTGGTCTGCGAACACGTGTTATTAGAAACGGCAAGCATAGATCCTGAATTTAGTTTTAAGAGGGACGCTAACATAGCTTAGGTATAGACCTATAAAGGGCAGCTACAAGTCCAAAATTTGGTTTGAGGGAGAGGTGATCGCAGCTTATTCATATATCGACTATAGGAAGTCATTGGAGCTGGTCTACGTTCAACTGTGGACGTCGTGTGGTGTGATATACCTACGTGATAAAGTTTGGTCCTAAACCAGTGCTCATTTGCACCAATTGTCTCCCAATATATCGACGTTAATTG